TTCCATTTCCTCTTATTTACACAACATCTTACATAAATCCATCTTATAACAGATAGCTTTATAAAAAACAACCTCAAAAAAGTTAAAATTGATGAAGGCCATACGCTGATTTTGTTGGATGTAATTTCCCTTTTTACTAGCATCCCGAGCTAACTGTGAACTGCATCATTGAAAATTGGAGGATTTATTTAAAAAAATAGTACATTACCCGAAACAGAATTCTTGACGGCTGTTCGATTCATGTTAGATTCCACATTTTTTATTTTCAACAACATCACTTATAAACAAACATATGGCACTCCCATGGGCTCTGCGCTGTCACCCATCTTTGTTGATATAGTGATGCCAAAATTAGAAAGAAGGGCTTTGATGTTTTTTAATGACAGTTCTTTTTTGACTATAGATATGTTGATGACATTTACAGTGCAGTCCCAACTTCAAAAACTTACTTTCCTTGAATGTTTTAATTCTTTTCATCCACGCTTCTCCAATTTACTCTTTGGAGGTAACTCATTAAATTTTCTAGATACGTAGGCTGCTGGAAAAGTTTCTGCAATCTAGTACTTCCAGTGGCGTCAACGTTCTGCTACTATCATATCCGTAAAATTAGACGTTTTTAACCTATAATTCAATTGACAGTTTATATCCAAGCCAACTAGTTTTGTTTGCAGTATTTTAAAAGAAGTTATTTTGTAAGAAAATGGAAATTTCGCGTGAAAATTTTTGGGCAATGATTTTTTATGATTACAAATGTAATCTAATTCCGAAACAATGCATCGATCGACTTCATTTGGCTTTTGGGACTGAAACACCATCCAATAGGACTATTTATAATTGGTTTGCCGAATTCCAGCGTGGACGTACCTTTCTTAGCGATGAATTCCGTGAAGGTCGTCCATCCACGTTTGTTGTTGCTACTAATGTTAATGCGTGAAATGATTGAGCGACACCGGCATATAACATATATCGCGAGATTCAGACATCCTTAGGCATTGACATGAAAGCAATATATACGATTCTACATGATCACTTGAGCGTACGGAAACTTTGCAGTCGTTGGATTCCACACAATTTGACCGAAGCTCAAAAACAGGCTCGTGTTAAATGGAGCAAAGAAATGCTCAAGAAATTCAACCGAGGTCGGTCAAATTTGGTCTACAACATCATTACTAGGGATGAAATATGGATCTATTCGTATGAGCCCGAAAGTAAACAACAATCCACTGTTTGAGTATTTCAAAATGAACCGAAACCAATATAAGTTGTTCGTTCACGCAGTGCTGCTAAGTAAATGATTGCTTTCTTCAGTTATACCGGACATGTGACAACCGTGGCTTTAGAGGATCGAAGGACTGTAAATACTGATTGGTATACAACAATTTGTTTGCCAGAAGTTATAAATGAATTGCGTAGAACAAACCGAAATCGTCGCATCATCCTTCATCATGACAACGCCAGCTGTCACAGAGCACATCAAACCGTTGATTTTTTATCCAGTAATAATGTCGAATTGATGACTCATTGTCCGTATTCACCTGATTTATCACCTAATGACTTCTTTTTGTTCCCAAACATTAAAAATAAGATGCGTGGTGAGCAATTTGAGTCGCCTGAAACAACTCTTGAAACACGTACATTGATTTCTGAGTCTTAGAGCGGAAAAAATGCTTTGGAAATTGGTTCGAGCGTATGCAAAAATGTATCGATCTTAAAGGCGAATATTTCGAAAACAATAAAGCCATTTATCGAATTTTACATGTTTTTTTAATATTGTTTGCAGAAACTTTTCCAGCAGCCTACGTATAAAACTGGAGGGATATAAAAAATAAACAATTTTCTTTCGATTGGTATCACAAACCTACCTTTTCAGGCAGAAATTTCTTACCTTTCTTGAATTATCTATCCAATCATCCTGTCTCACAAAAAAGGGTATAATTTTTAACCAAATTGACAAAACGTTATTAGATTCTGACACTGAATATCATTCAAAAAATTTGACTTTTATTATATTAGGAGTATAAATAAGTTTCCGCCGTTTGACAAACAATGGCGTTACCAGTATGTTATAGTTAAAATTGTCAGCTGTAAAACGTCATATCGTAAAGTTGGACATCTGGCAAGAACATAACCTTGAAATATAATATTTTAATAGACAATTTGAAATATAAAAAGACTAAATTTAAAAGTGCTAAAATATTAAGGGGGCACTTGAAAGTAATTAAGCAATAAAGTTTTTTTTTATTTTTGATTAAAACTCGAAAATAAAAAGAGATATCGAAAAATGACAAGAGAGTTTTTTTGTTGCTGCTGAAATTTCCTTTTTACAAAATTTTACAAAATGAGTTTTTAACGAGCTTTGTATTATAAAGTGAAAAAACGGCAAAAATAAGTACTTCTTCAGTTATTGCCTTCTACATCGTTTTAAATGCATCAGAGAATAAAAAATGACATAAGATAGTTTAAATGAGACATTTTACAGAAAAAAACGAGCTTAAATTGAACTCAAAACGATTAATACTTTCAGAGATATTGATGCCTACTTTGGAACTTGATATCTCTGGAAATATTGATCGTATTGAGTTCAATTTAAGCTTTTATCAGTAAGATGTCTAATTTAAATTATCTTATGTCACTTTTTACTCTTTGATGCACTTAAAACGATGTAGAAGGCAATAACTGAAAAAGTACTTATTTTTGCCGTTTTTTTAAGAAATTTCACTTATCTTCAAACCGCTGTATCTTCAATTCTACTCATAATATAAAGCTCGTTAAAAACTTATTTTGTAGGAAATTTTAGCAACAACGAAAAAGCTCTTTTATTTTTCAATATCTCTTTCCGTTTTTGAGTTTTAATCGAAAAACAAAACAAATTGCATTGCTTAATTACTTCCAAGTGCCCCTTAATGTTGTATTACTTTTAAATTTAGTCTTTTTATATCACAAACTGTCTCGATTAAAACAATAAATAAAATATTTGTAAATAATATTTCTTCCTTTTTAAAACCTTTGAAAAAACTGGCCTAAAACGGAAAATCTTTTGAAAAAGGAAATAGTGGGAGGTCAGAGTGCGATAGAAACCATAAGAAGAGGCAGACCAAAAAAGAAAGTTTGTAATCCTTATGGAAAAAAAGAAAAGCCTAAGGAAACTCAACGAGTATACGAAGAAGAAGGGAAACAGGCGACATAAAAGCGAACTTGATAAAAATAAACAAACCGCAAGATATTGATGAAACATTGGCGTCTTCACAAGCTAAACAATGGAGATGCATTATTAAAGAAGAGTTAAATAGAGTTCGGCTTGATTGCGCACAGATCCGATTGCACACCGAGCCGATTGCGCATCGATCAGAGTACTGAGTATAGAGTTTAGAGTCAAAGTGTGCAAGGACCGTACCACTTTTAAAATGATTCTTTGCCAATTGAAACGCCCTTTCACAATTGTCCACTTGAAGACAGTTCCTTTCTGTAATGTACTTTCTGTAATAATATTAAAATGAAACTTAAATTTTTAATAAATCTTCCATAGTAATTTATTATACCGAGAAATTAACGTTATTCCTTGACACTCTTCGGCCTAGACATCTTGTCAATCGCTTGTACTTTCTTCGTCATTTTTATGCAAATCGTTTTTGTGTATTTGATATCCAATACTCAATACTGTCTCGAAAAAATTCACATTTACTTTCATTGATTCTAATATTAGTCTCCAAGAGCAGCTGTAGCACCTGCCCAAGCTGTTGCAAATGTATCTCATTATTAGGTTCGGTGATTTTGATATTGTCTAGGAATACCGATACTCCCGGCATTTTGCCTAGAATGCCTTCAATTTCTCACTGCCAAATGGCTGGTGCAGAAGAGACTCCATACATTAATCTTGTTCAACGAAATAGTCCTTTATGCGTATTCAGTGTAAGCAATTCTCGATTCTTTTCGCAGACTTCAAGCTGTAAGTATGCTTGTTTCAAATCTATTTTAGAGAATTTTTCCTCGCCAGCCATCGAATAGTTCGTCGATCGTTAGTAGTGGGTGTTCATCTATCCACAGGTTTGCGTAATACTAAAATCGTCACAAATGCGGACTTTGTCATTCCGCTTCGGTACAATGGATGTGGCCCATCTCGACATATTTATCTTCTCTAAAATTCTGGCTCGGACGAGTAATTGCAGCTCCTCTTCTGTAGGCTGCAATAACTTGAAAGGCACTGTACGCGCTTTCAGAAATATTGGTTTAACGTTTTTTATTAATGACAACCTAACTTGTCGCCCTTTTTTTATATAATCGAATCTAAATTATCTTTGTATTGTTGTAACAATCGTGAAACTTGATATTCCGATCCTTTATGTAATATATGTATGCTATTTATTGACTCTGTAAATGTACGCAACTGCCAAATCCACTCACACCCTAACAAGCGTTTGCAATTCACATTGGATACATATAGATTTAATTCTACAATTATTCCACGTAATGTGAGTGTAATTGATACAATCCCAATGATTTGAATAGACGTTTTACAAAAAGTAATTTATTATAATGACATTGAAGTAAACATCGATTTCGACAGTGTTCTCGCAAGTGTATTCTGCTAATTATTATTGTAACGGTCACTCCGTTATCGATTTCGAAACACAAAGGCTTACTGTTAACTAAAGGTGTTTCGTAAAACTTATCCCTATATTTGGTGCGTTGGATTAACAGTACCTCCTCAATTTGGTTAGCGGTTACTCGCTTCGCTCCCATACGTACTTTTTGTAGATGACCTGATATACCACATTTGTGACATATAATGTTTCTATCTAGTGTACATTTACCATGCGTTTACCGCCGCATCTGTAACAAGACATGTTAGTAATTGCATTCTGGCCCGCTTTACCAAGATTGGATTGAATCGCGTGATTACTTGTTTTTGCAAGTTTCGCCAATGCTTTCCGTTTAGGATAATTTATCTTCTCTGTTTTCTTGTCCTTAGTGTCCATGTAGCTGACTACTGCCGTTGATTCCTATAGTTGCTGTACATCTTTCTCAGACAACTCCATCACTGTAGCCACTTGTATGGCTTTCTCGAAGGTTAAGTCCTTCGTCTCTAGTAATCAAGATTATGTATGATGACCTGCCAAATCAAAGAAGAACTGCTTGCGTAAGGCAGTATAATTGCCAAAATTGCAGTGGACTCAATTTATGTAACGCTGCGACAAAATCCTTGCTTTTGCCTTTATTTTGCTTCTATATAAAATAAAAACAGAAGTTCTCAGCAATCTCTAAAGGCTCAAGGGCGCAATATTTAGTGATATTACTAACTAATGTATCGAACGTAGCTGAATAAGGATCTGCCAGTTTATTGCAAATAACGTCGAACGCAGTCGGTCCAATGAAATGTAATATGTACATGACTTTCTTCTCGGCCGGCACTTTGAAAATTTTTACGGCAGCTATGAATCGTTGTAACAAACGCTTCCAATCTGTAGTCGTTGAATCATAAACTTCGATACTAAAATTTCCGTGTAGCGTTACTTCCGCCATATTAAGTATACTTCAATGTTGAATTTAGACTCGTTCTAATCAAATACATACGTGTGATTTTTGTAAATATCTTACTTGCCACGCTAAGTAAAATGCAAAATTGTGATTGTAATCGTCCTCGTAAGTCCGTTCCGGACATATAGATCCGTTGTACGTAATTGTAGCGTCTCTTCAAATCTTTCCTTCATCACGTAGGTTACTTCCCAATTTTCTCTTGCTTTGAATTAACCTTACTCGCTATTACTTCTCTTGAGATGTATCCTATCCTCGTCGCCAATTCTGTTGTGTATTGCTGAGAAGGAAATTGAGGAAAACTCTTGCCTAAGTGCCAATCAGATAACGTCCTTTATTCTATTGGGTGGATCCATATATTCGTTCGCTTTTTGAAGGCTAAAATGAAACAAGTTTTTTTCATACAAAGGATGAATTTTAATCAATAATATATTCTCCGTTTTTGTTGATGACCTCTTGCCATCTTTCCAACAATTTCATTATTCCGCTCTCATAGAAGGTCTGGGGCT